AGATAGATAGATAGATAGATAGATAGATAGATAGATAGATAGATAGATAGATAGATAGATAGATAGATAGATAGATAGAGGGAGAGGGGAAGGGAAGGGAGGTGCATTGGGCTTAAGTCCATATTGAAACCTGATTGCCCAAGGGGCAATCCTCAGTTTTAAAATAAAAATCAGCAAAAGGGCCACTGCTTGATAAATATTAAAAGAGGAGGAGGGGAAGAATGGGAATAGAGAGCACAACTAAAAATGTTAAAAGTCAAATGCACAGCTAGGAACACTCCAGGGTAATTATTGAAAATCCCCTCGGCTCTGACAGAGATATTGCATGCACATATACATCTGTTCTAACCTTTTTGAAGACTGAACACACACAGATGTGCATCATCAATTAGAAGATAGTTTCAGAACCAATCCTAATGCATGAAATTTAAAAAGGAAGGCATTCATTCCAATGCAAATGTTATATACTGCATTTGAATCTAATGCAACACATCAAGTTTTATTAACAATTTTCTCCAAATTCAATTATTTTATAAATAATAGTTCTATTCTGATGAAGTTTATATTTTATAACCAAATCCATTCTGTCCAAGTCCTTTACCTACTTTGTTATCACAGATTCAGTGGCAGGTTCTGATTAGTTATATGAAGACTGAATAGTTGCATTTTGTTATTTGGACATCAATGGGGCATTTGTTTTCATACTGTCAGATTTAAATCCCATTGAAGTCAATCTTAATTTAGATGTAGTCTGATGGAGTTCAATTCTGTGACATAGATCATATTTAATTCATTTAAATGCATGATCCCATTTTCCCTTTAAAATGTTTATAACCTATAAGGTTTAAAAAGCCTACTTTTGAACATCAATGTGCTACCCCATTAAGAGTCAGTTAGGTGTTTTGGGGACATTGAGTAGTTCTGTGAGATTATGATAACTCTTTATGCCTTTACTACCTTGATATGAAATAGGGAGATAGGAAGAAAGAAACAATTGGGAGGAACTATCCCAAAGGTGCTTTTCCAAAAGGCAACTGGGTTTTCTTATTTTTCCCCCTGGAAGACATTTCACTTCTCATCCAAGAAGCTTTTTCAGTTCTAACTGAAGTAGAACTGAAGAAGCTTCTTGGATGAGAAGTGAAACATTTTCAAGAAATAAGCAAGAAAGACCAGTTGTCTTTTGAAAACTTACCTTTGGGACAACCATGATCAGGTTGACTGAGAATCTCCATAGACATCTAGGAGGAACTATTTAAATTTGTGTTGTGATCATGATATGCTTTAAACTACTTTTACCTCAACATTAATGGGAATTTGGTATGTCCCTTATTCATGCCAGTTCCATAACACAGCATCTAATTTACCCTTCATTTATTCCAAATTGCATGTTCTTAAATAATTGATATTTGTTTTTCTACAATTCATCATTTATCCATCTATAATAAAACGTGGGTTTTAAAATCATAAGTAAGCCCTTTTCTCCATTAGAAATCAAATTCAATTTTTGTAAACTTCAATAAATCCAAACTAACAATTAACGCTATTAGAAGGGGGGATTAGATAATCAATAATCCTCAAATTCAGCATCGCAAATTCTCCTCAAAGACTCACACTAGTTCCTTGTAATTCCTCATGCTCAGAAAGACACCCACCCAATACTTTCAGAGGACTGTGACAAATAAACTTTAACCAGACAACAATGTCACACTGATTTGTTCCCCCACTTCCCTCCCCAAACACTTCTGAGACCGTATAATCCACCGATCTCCGCTAGATTATATCATAAAAAAGCATTCGAATAGGCGGCAACTTAAAGCAGAAGGAAGTACAAACAATATCTCCTTGAATTTGAAGGTGTCAACTCTCCCTAACATCCGAACTGGCGTATATTGTTTTGCTGTTGCTCTCTCGTGGATCCCTTCGGTCGCGCGCGGGGAAACACCACACACACACACCCCATCACCACAAAAGATTCCCAAGCGCATTCCCATGCACGGTTGGGGTGAGGGGAAGCGAGTTCCCTCGCTACTTTTGGGGGCTCAGAAGGATCGGGAGCTGCGATAGGGAGGAAACAACGGGCTCTGTGGCGAGGAAGCTTTCTCACTGGGGGCGGGGTGGTAGTGTTGGGTCCACAGGGGTTTCCTTCCAGCTCAGCAGGTGGATTATCAGGAGAATCTTAGATTTTTCTCCAGTTTACACAGGCGCCTTTTGTTAGGGAAAAGGTCCTGTCCAGTTTTCTTACATTTTCCTCTTCACCCCATCTCTCAGCCCTTGGGACCACCAAATCTGCCCCCCTTGTACCCCAAAACGCTCCTTGTACTAGATTGTAGATTTCACCTCCATCCAGGTGCGAAAAGGGGCGCCTCCTCCCCCTTCCCCATCTTACCTTGCCACTTGAGGGGTGTGTTGACGGGAGCTGTTCGCAACGCTGCCGGGTTGAGGGGCACGCGCGGGAGAGGGGTGCCAGCGTCTCTCTCTCTCTCTCTCTCTCTCTGTCTCTCTCTCTCTGTGTGTGTGTGTGTGGTGTGTGTCTCAGGGAAGCGGTTGGAGTTTGCAACGGAATTCGGCTCAGGGCAAGAGCGCCCGGGGGCCCGTCCCAGCTTGCTAAATTAATCACTTTTGCTTTTTTTTTTCCCCGCGAAAGGGGAGGGAGCTAGGAATAGAAGAGGATGGCAAAAGGGAGGAGAAAGAAAGAGAGAGGGAGAAGAGGATGAAAAATCTCAAGCCTGGGGAAAAGAGGAAGGTCCCTCCGTGACTGGCATCAATATCTCCTTCGGCGGAGCTTCAAGGGAGTCATGGCAACGAGCCCCTAAACCTCCCCAAATCTTTCTCAGCTACACAGGGCACGCGCGCAAGCATACACGCACACACATACATACACAAACTGCTGTTGCTGCTGTGCCTGCTGCTGGGTGCTCTGGGAAGGGGGGGGGGAAGACAGCCTCCTCCTCTCCCCCCCCCCCATGCAACCCCCCCCCCCCCCCCCCCCCCCCCCGCCGCCATCCCTCCGCCTCTGCGAGGTTGGAGGGAGACACCGAAAGCGGGGAATGAGCTGAATTCCCTGGGAATTCTCCCTCGCTTCCCCTTCCCTCGGCCTTCTGCTATACTAGGAACTTGCTTGAAGCCTGGCTACCTGGAAAAGGGCGTCTCCGGACGCTTACCTGGAAATTGGAGAAGGGCTGGTGGGGGCGTATCCCCCTCCAGACCCGGGCGACTTGTCTGTTAAGCCCCCAGGCTGACCTGGCCTGAGCCGCTTCGGAGGCTCTTCCCCGGTTAGAAGCTGGAGGACACCTGAGAGCTGTAGACGCGCGGGCTAGCGATGGGTGGGTGGAGAGAAGAGGGCTTTATATCCTGCCGACTTTCCAATTCATCCAGGTGTCAATCTCTTTATACACGCGCGCGCGCGCGCATACACACACACACACACACGCAGAGTGGTTGCTTTCTCAAAGAAAAATGCAACGGGGAGAAAGCGAGAGGCTGAGACGTACACACACATACACGCTTACCTACCTACCTACCTACCTACCTACCTACTTACCTACCTACCGGATCAGAAACACCCAGCTAGGATCTCCTTCCAAGGTTCCCCAAGAATCAAAGGAGAGGGAGAGAAACCTTCCCAATTCTCTCTGGTTCTCCTCCTTCCTAACGACCATTTTCTGAACTCCGAAGGGTTAAGACCCAGAGAGGGGATAAGAGATTTGAGGCTAGAGGTTTTTTTTGGGGTGGTGGTGGAGGGGGTGTGGGGTGTGTGATTGGCAAACAAGAGGCAGAACCAACAGCGTAGGGGAGGGAGAGAAAAGTCACACACGGGCCGCATCTTTCTCAATCGAGAATTGGGGAATATTCTATAAAAGAAGGCATTTCATTTCACACGTGCACACCCAGGCAGAAATATCCTAGCCGCACCAAACCCACCGGGCGTTACCAACAGCAACAAGAACCTCCTTAGGGAGAGTGGCATACCTTGAAGTGAGGAGGGGGGGAGCAGGGGAATTGTGCTCCTCCAGAACAGCTGTTTGTTGTAGCAGTGCCGAAAATGAAAAGCCAGATTAGAGAAGGCCAGGAATCAAAGGTGCAGAGATGCTTCCTTTTGCACAGCTGGTTTCCAGTCACACAGACCAATACACACCCTTTCCCTCTTTTTTTCAAGCTATTTGTGATGGAAATCATGAAATGCCAGCCTCCCTTCTCCCTCCCCCAGCTGCCCTAAACCAAATGTACTGCAAAAAGTCCAGTCCTGGCATGTTCTCATGCTTCATACTATGTTCAGGTATCTGCCACACCCTGCCAGCTCAACACACTTGAGGAACAGAGACAGAAGGGAGGGTTGTTTAGGAAGTTCACTAGAATTGGGTAGAAGAGACATTATGAAAGAATGGGAAATGGTTGGAGAAGCAACTTTCGGCAGAATCTCATCTGCCATCATCAGGCTTCTGTATTGTGTTCGTCTGTGAGTCAGACTTTTACAGTTGTTTCAGTTTTAAATTTGGGGCTAGCCTACCGCTGTGCCGAAATGGTTTTTTCTTCATCCTGATTGATTGGGAGTCTTGGTCTGTGTTTATTGGTCTTGGAGTTTGCTGTGTTCTGCTTCGTTGGTGTTTCTAATATCTTCTGTCTGTTTTGTGGATTTTTTGTGTCTTGATTGGCTGGCAACATTGTGTTCCTGTATTGGAGGCTTTTAGTGCAGCTTGGCTCCGAGTAAATGGACGGCTATCATTTGTTAGGAAGCTAGGTTTCATCTGGGTGCCTGGTTGGGGTGTGTTTGAGCTGGAGGTATCAGGGGGGATCTGTTTTTGCCCAGGTATTTGCCTGGTTAGTGGTGTGGAAATTTTTTTGTTTGTGAGTGCAGGCTTCCAAATAATTGACAGTCTGGTGGAATCATCTCTTCTATTCATGCTTTCAGGTCTTTTTTCAATCTCTATGGCTTCTCTGACTCAGACGAAGACTCCCGACCAATCTTGATGAAGAAAAAACCATTCTGGCACAGCAGTAGGCTAGCCCCAAATTTAAAACTGAAACAACTGTAAAAGTCTGACTAACAGACAAACACAATACAAAAGCCTGATGATGGCAGATGAGATTCTGCTGAAACGTTGCTACAACTTTAAAAGCACCACTACTATGACGTGGGAAAATACCTGAACAAAGCTGAAGGCCATATATATATATATATATGGAGGGGAAATATTTAACCTGAGGCCCTCTTTTTCTTAGGAAACATTAAGCAACTCTTTTAAACAAATGAAGGGAAATAAATGTACAGTTTCTAGTCTGAATTAATTAAATAGCATTTGGATTGGTGAGTTTAATTCTAGAATTTACTAGTTTTTCTTGAATGGCCAATAGAAAACATTCAGCCAAGTGAGACAGCATGCTTATATCCTGTAAATATCATCTTCGGATGACCAGGATCGTCCTTCCAAATTCTCATTGGCAGAGGTTTCAAAGTTTGCTAATTTGTTTCCATCATGTACCATGTTTATTGTCAGCTACTTAAAAGAGAAGTTTCCAAGTGATCATAACTGTGCATCGGTCATTTTTGTAGGTTTTGAAGAATTGTCATAGGGTTCATAGGAAGTCTTATTATTCCATGAAGTCATAAAAGCTCATTACATTTAACATAACATAGAATAGGGCTGGAAGGGACCCTGAAGGCTTTCTAGTCCAGCCTCCTGTTCAAGCAGGAGATCCTATATCATTTCAGACAGTCCAGTCTCTTCTTAAAAACCTCCAGTGACGAAGCACCTACAACTTCTGAAGGCAAGACATTCCACTGGTTAATTGTTCTCACTGTTCGGAAGTTTCTCCTTAATTCCAGGTTGCTCCTTTCCTTGTTTAATTTCCATCCATTGCTTCTTGTCCTGCCCTCTGATGCTTTGGAGAATAACTTGCCCTCTTCTTTATGGCAGCCACTCAAATATTAGAATACCACCATGTCATATATTTGATTGCCACTATGGCTTCAATGAAGCTCAGACATCCCAAACTATTCTAGAATTCTGTAATTCTGTAAGCTATCAATATAGGCTATGTTAACATGTCCCTTTGAACTCCTTTTCGAACCCCTGTACATTATTTTGACAGCCCCAAGTAAAGCTGTTCAAAAATGAAGGTACACAAAATGCAGAAAATTCCAAAGGGTTGTTGAAAAGCAGAGAGGAAAATATCCCTCATGTAAAAACAGATGTGTTGCCATGTAAATTGCCACAAAACTGCCTTGCAGTTAGCAGGGTGCTACTACAACTGTTGTGGCAAACCCCCAAAGAACCAGATTGTTACAAATGGAAAGTGGAAATCCCATTGCCCCTTCTGTAATCCTGTTGTGGTAATAGGCATATTTTCCCCTAGAAAAACATGTTTTCCTTTGAAAGATATCAAAGACATCTGGAGGCACATCCTAGCAGTGACAGAGGTCTTGGCCACGACTGAAAGATGAGACAGAGTGGGGGGTATGATAATTTTAGGATTGATTTCTTCACATATTCAGACACAGCACCCTCCAAACATGTGTCATTATCTCTGTTCTATAATCTGACCAGCAGAAAATAGGAGACTGAACTGTAAGTTGGACTTTTCCCCTGCTGCTTAATTGGAAGCTGCTAATGGGATACACAGCAGAATTCTGGGCACCACACCTTTTCCCACAATAGGCTGATCACTGGGAGGTATCGTGGTAGGCCAGGTAAAATTAGAATGTAAGTGACATTGTAGCTTCTTAATTGACCAATTCTGCATTAGGAGTAGCAGTTTGGTAAAATTCAGACTTCAGACACCATTTGATCAATTCAGAGAACTAGGTTATAGAATTTTCCTGGGTTATTATGTTGATTCCTGCCTTGCTTCCTAGACTAAAACAAAGCAAAACTTCTCATTAGCTAACATGGGAAAAACACTTGGGAGAACATTATGAAATTTGCAGTGAAATTGGTCATATCCTGAGGGATTTTCAAAGCAATTTTATATAGGCAGATCATTATTATTTTTTGGTTCAAAGATAGGGCAGCTGAAGTGAATAATGATACAATTTCTTGAATATGATGTTGTTGTTTCTCAAGGTTTAAGAGTGAAAGAACCATAAGAAGCCAACTGTTTTTCACAAAAGACAACAATTATTATGCTTGTACTGGAAAATGGCTGTTATTGACATACAACTGCGGAAGGAAGGAAGGAAGGAAGGAAGGAAGGAAGGAAGGAAGGAAGGA